CTGCTTTACGCAATATGTGTAACATTGCACGCTGTATCAGGTGTTCTGATTGTGTTCAGCATTCTGTGAACGTGTTCAGCATTCATTTCTGTTCATTTCTTCAGAATTCTGTACATGTGTACATTTATAGGTATTCTGAACGTGCTCTCGCGAACACGTGATTTTTGCCCAGTGGATATGTGTGTACTAACCTATTTGTACTCACTTATTTGTGGTTGCTTCTGGGTCCTCTCTCTCCCTGCTCCACGAGTTTCATCCCCTCGTTATTGCTCTTACTTTTTTATTTTGGGCTTCCCATAGTGATATTTCCCGGATATCAGCCCAAGACCGACGTAACAATTCTGACAGAGTTTTAGAGGAGTTTTGACTTAAAGATTCCACAGAAGTCTTATTTTTAATGAAACAAATCCACTTTGTTTAAATAATAGAGAATATGTAGTTTTAGTATATCTCCAAGAATTTTCATAATAATTTGCTTTATATTACAGAACCTTTTAATCAAACGTATACTTTGTAAAATTCTCAACACTTTTAATAAATGGTGGAGTTTGTTCCCCCAGCATGTAATTATCATTATTAAAATGCAGGTATATATTATATCATATTATTCAACGAATAGGAGTCTTCTGTCTCTACACAGAGAGACGTAAATGTAAAGTTTATCCTAGTAATCAGTATACAGTCTCCCAAGTTAATGGAGAATCTCAACTAGGGAGAGTATAATGGTAATAGATGGGGGTCTAACCCGGAGGGTAAAAACCCAACATGATGGAGTCGAGTGGGCACGTGACACCACACGAAAAGAGGGGGTAAGGGGAAGAGAAGGGGTTTTAAAAAGCAGTACACACAAAAGTGAGGATGAACCTTTAAAAACCCTTACTTATCTTTTTATACAAACACTGCTAAAAAATTAAAACTATACAAAAAAATTTACAAGACCAATGGGGCCCAAAGACGATGATGAGATATGATAGATAAAATACAAAGGCCGAACATTTCCTTTTAGCTATTAATGGAGTGAGCACGATGCAATATAAATAAGATAACAATGATAAAAGAACTTAAATATCGGGCATTTATGCGTAACACTTGTTTTTAAAAAACTTGTGGGGTTTCTTGCCCTCCATACTCATTTTTCAGACTTTTCCCACTTCCTGACAACTTTATGATGAGAAATACTTTCTAACTCCCTTTAACTCACGAGTCTTCGTTTCCAACAGACCCCTTTGTTTCTATGTCCCATCTCTGGAACACCCTGTTTCCCCCTTTGTCAATTCCCGAGTAATTTATAGGTTATATTTCTCCCCTAACCTTCCTTCCTTCCTCCCGTGTCGTGAGGCCCATTTCCCTTAACCTTCCTGTAGTACATTCCCCTTAGCTCTGGGATTAGTCTTGTTGCAAACCCTTTTCACATTCTCTAATTTCTTGATTGCATGACCAGGGGGTGGGTTCCAAAATGGTGTTGAATACTTAAAATTTGGGCTGACGTACACGGTTTTCGAGATTTTGAATGATTCCTTACTGAGGTACCCGAACATATTCTTGGTTGTCAAGCGCCCATATGCTGAGCAGTTTATTGGGGGAGTGTCCTAGGAGATGTGCTCGTCTTACTCACCATAAAATCCTTTTCCTTGAGGGTTTGCAGTCTTTGTCCACTTGTTTAACCTCTGCCCCGTCATCTTTGCCCCTTCCCCCCAAACTTCAAGACGCATTTGGTGGGTTAAATTTGACGAGCCAGTTGCTAACCGGGTTGCAGCCCGTCAGGTTTTCTTTTTCAGTTTTTCTGATCCCTTAAGTCTGATTCTTGCTCCCCGAAAATGCAATCTACCACCCCTTTTCCCCTTTGTGTCTTACTTCCTTTCCTTGTATAAAACTCCCGTAGGTTTGTGACATAGGATTTCCCTTCCCCCGAAACCGTGCTGTTCTTGTTTATAAGCATTTCGTTTCTAGGTGCTACATCATTTCCTCCTGTAATCTTCTCCCGACTTTGCATACTATGCACGTCAGGACACAGGTCCCAAAATTTTAAATTCCCGTGTCTGTCTCATGTCTTAAAAAATTTAGACTAATTTGCTTTTCCCATCCTTATGAAGTTGCCCCCTTTAATGGAGTTTTGAAGATTTTTGTTGTGACACACACAGTGTCTCTGCTCCCCCCTAAGGACCCACGGGAAAACAAGGTCCCACCGCCTTTTTAGGGATCTGTTCATTAGCTCACCTTCACCCCCTTTTCCATCGTTGTATTTTTTCCAGTAGTTGTTGGGATATCCCTTTTTGGTGTACTCCTGTTTTGGCTTCCCAGTAGCTCCTCGCTACTTTTGAGCTCCCACCTCCCTCCCTCCCCCTGATTACCTGGTTCTTTACTGTTGTTTTCCTCCTGATGTGGCTATACAAATTTTTGGGGGGCAATTGATTTTGATCTTGTCGTTATTGTACTGCCGTGGGGCCCCCTTCTTATCTGAGCATACTCGTTTCTAGCTCTCTGTCTAATATCTTTATTTTCCTGGGTCCTTTGTCTTCTGTGCCTTTTCCATTCTCTTAGTGGTCTCCTCCCTACACCTTTCGGAGAACCAAGGGCTCGTTCTGGTCTTCTCATTATTGCTGTTGCCCCTTTGGGAACAAACCTCTCCTCTCCTCCCTTTCATTTTGGTCAATAGTCCATCAATTCGTTTAACTGATTTTCCTACCAATTCTCTTTCCACGATTTCTTCGGGCCTTGCTGTGTAGTCCTCCCTTTGAAATTTTTGGTTTTTCCCCCTGCTCCTTTTCCCCTTTCTGCTTATAATTATATTTTTAAAAGCTCGAACAATGTGACACTGGCTTCTAGGGGCTTTTCTAGTGAAATGCCCTTGATGTCCGAGCTACTAAAGGGGAATACAAGGTCCGTCTTGAGGTTTATCCTCAATCTCTCTCCGGTAGTGCCCCCTAACTTTTTGTGCTTTTGTTTTCCGTATTATATCCATCTAGGTTCTCAGATTCGGGCTCCATGTGACTGCAGGTTTTCCCAATAAATTTCCTTGAGACTGAAAATCACCCATAACTTTTAAATTTTTGCTCTACTGTGTAGCTTTTTCTAACCCCCTCAGTAGGTGTCCACCATCGCTCGTTGCTCTTTTTATATTTTCTTTTGGGCCCCTAAAGTTCTGGGGGGGTTGACATCATTGTTTTACCCCCTTTGGTCCCAAAAAAATAAATTGTTTTTACTATGAGTCCCCTTTTGCCCTTCCTTCCATTTTCTCAATCCCCCCCGGTTGTTATGAGAGTGTAACTCCCTCCCCCCCTTTCTCCCTCTCTTTTCCCCAGGTCTGATATCCGTGTGATATATGTGTGTGTGTGTGTGTTGTGTACTCCCGTTGTACTCACCTGTTGAGGTTGCGGGGTGAGTCCGAGTCCCGGCCCCCGCCTCTTCATGATCGCTAAATAGGTCACTCTCCCGAGCCGTGAGCTTTTCATCCTTGCTTAAAGCTTGTTGGATCCTGCCCCCCACTAACCTTCCCAAACTATTCCCCTTACTGACTACTCTGGGGCTGAAAAAATACTTCCTAACATCCCTGTGATTCATCTGTGTCTTCAGCTTCAAACTGTGCCCTTTTTATGTGCCCAATCCGGGAACATCCTGCTTTGTCCCCTTTGTAAAATTCCTTCATATTTTGATGTCTTTTTTCATTCCCCCCTATCTCCCCTTTCCTCCAGTGTCGGGGTTTGATTTCCCCCTTAACCTTCCTCGTAACATCCTCTTAGCTTGGGAAAGTCTTGTTGCAAACCTTTGCACTTTCTCTATTTTTCTTCCGTGTTTGGCTAGGTGTGGGTTCCAAATGGTGCCGCATACTCCAATGGGGGCCCAAAACATACCGGTGTACGGGGTCCGAATGATTCCTTATTAAGAGCGGAATGTGTTCTGAGGTTTCCAGGCCCCCATATGCTGCGCAGTTATTTGGTTGAGTGCGTTTCGGAGATGTGCCTGGTGTTATACTCACCCCAAGATTTTTTTCCTTTGGTAGGTTTGAAGTCCTGACCCCCTGACTGTACCCCGTCTGCGGCTTCTTTGCCCTTCCCCCCAAACTTTATGACTTTGCACTTGGGGGGATAATCCAGGAGCCAATTTCTGGCCCGGTCTGGGAGCCTGTCCAGATCCCTTTTTAGTTCTGCCCGGTCTTCGATTCGAGTGAATTCTTCTCATCAACTTACGTATTGCAAACAGGGGCCCCAGAGTTATTCCTTCCGTCAGTCGTTCCAAATACCAAAAAAAACTGGCCTAGGATGACCCTGCGGGACCCGCTGGTCACAGGTGCCCCCTCTGACACCTGCCAGACCATGACTCGCTGCTGTCTTCCCGACAGTATTCCCCGAAACCCATTGTATGCCTTCCCTGTTATCCTGTTATCCCTGTTGTGGTGTGTGTTGTGTGTGTGTGGGGTGTTGTGTTGTGGGTTGTGTGTGTGTGTGTGTGTGTTTTGTGTGTGTGTGTGTGTGTGTGAGGGGTGTGTGTGAGTGTGTGTGTACTCACCTAACTGTGCTCACCTAATTGTGGTTGTAGAGGTCAAGCCGTAGCTCCTGCCCCTCCTCTTCACTGGTCGCTATTAGGTCATTTCTCTTGCTCAGTGAGCTTTATCTACCTCTTCTTAAAGCTATGTATGGATCCTGCCTGCAGCACCTCCCTCTCCAATGTTCCACTTCTGACAACTTCGTGGACTGAAGAAATACTTCCTAAGATCCCTGTGACTCAACATTAAATTGTGACACCTTGTTGGTGTGTTCCATCTTGTTTCATCCTCTCCCTGTCCACCCTGTGGGATTCTTCTCAGTATTTTCTCTCTCCTCTCTCCTCTCTCTTCTCTCTCTCTCTCTCTCCTCTTCTCCCCTCTTCTCTCTCTTCTCTCTCTCCTCTCTCTCTCTCTCTCTCTCTCTCTCTCTCTCCCCTCTCTCTATATATATATATATTTTATATATATGTATGTATATGTTATATATATATTATATATAAAAATATATATATAAATA